CTGGTCATGATGGCATTAAGGTCGCTGGCTTTATATATATATAGACTTCTTTTATTTTTCACAAGAATTGTTACTAATGTGCCCTCTGCATGTAATACTCAATATCGACTGTTGTAGGCACTATACACACACACACACACACACACACACACACTAGGGGCCTGGTGCATAAAAATTCATGCACTGGAGGGGGGGTCCCTCAGCCCGGCCTGCCCCCTCTCACAGTCCAGGAGCCCTCAGGGTTGGTAGGCGACATGGCGATCAGGGGAAGGCGATGCCCCATCACACTTCTGCTGCTGCCACTGCCGGCAGTGCAAGCCTCGGCCGGCCCTGGGCGGCTAGGGGGCTGCGGGGACTGGGTGCCGCCATCTTGTGGCTGTGGGTGCTACCATCTTTGAGGGTGGGGGATTCAATTAGCATATTCCCTCCTTATTGGCTGTGGGTGCCACCATCTTTGTGATGGCCTGAGAGTCAATTAGCATATTCTTAATTTATTAGATAGGATGTTCAGCAAATATTCAGAGGAACCTGGAGCCCCCAGAGAAACAGCTGAGTTTGTGTGGCCTTTAATTTTATAAAGCCTGGAATGATCTATACCATACTATCATAAACATAAATATTTACTTCAGATGCTTACAGTCCTGAAATTATGAGAAATAGCTTCTGATAAGAACAGACATTATGTTAGGTTATCCAATTCACTTTTCTTCTAAAAAGTTTATTTAGAATTTCCCACTGCTTTCAGATTTCTTAGGGGAAATGGGCATACATTCATTTAAATTATCTTATTTTCTTGGCGGCCTGTGCTAGGGCCCTTTTTCCAATGAAACAAATTTCCACTTTGCTATCCTTGCTGCCTCATTCTACCACTGGGTTCAGCTTTAACTCAAACTTTTCCTATTGCCTACCCTGAGGACCACTGATGATACAGCTATCAGCAAATGTTAATGTCAGTAAACACAAATGAAGAGCGGCTTGTAAACAATGGAAAATCACTATGGACATGACCATATTAAAGGCAGTAAAGAAACCTGTTTATTTTTGCATAATCTATCCACCAAATTTATTTAAATCTTCAATTACCAAATTGGCTACACTGAAACCCAACTGTATAGATAACATAATCTATAATAATAAAAGCGTAATATGCTAATTAGACCGGACAGCCGAATGACCTTCTGGACATCCTTCCCGACAAAGCCACAGCGGCGGCAGCTGAGGCAGAGATGGTAGGGGCGATCAGGCCGGCAGGCAGTCGAGCAGGTAGGGGTGATCAGGCAGGCAGGCGAGCAGTTAGGGATGATCAGGCAGGCAGGTATAGGGGTTAGGGGTGATCAGGCAGGCAGGCAGAGTGGTTAGGGGCAATCAGGCAGGTATGCAGAGTGGTTAGGGCGATCAGGCAGGCAGGTAGGTGAGCGGTTAGAAGCCAGTGGTCCCTGATTGCGAGAGGGTGCAGGTTGGGCTGAGGGACCCCCCTCCACCCCCTTGCACGAATTTCGTGCACTGGGCCTCTAGCATAAACATAAAACCCATATATTGATACATATATGATGTCACATTAATCTTAGCAAACTATTTCTTTGGGGGGAAGGGTAGAACATTATTTACATTTAAAAAATTACTGATTAGTTTTTGTTTCTTTGATGAAGCTTCCTGGTCAATTAAAAGTTCCACCCAAAGGAAATACTGCCAAGATTGACTTACACGTGTATGGATATTTAAATGTAGAGCTAGTACCAGTTTAATACCTTTTATCTTTAAACGCTAATTTCTCCAATTGGCTTCTCCAAATTATATCATCCTCTGTTTTATTGAAGAACATCAGCTTCATCTTCCTTAAAAAAAACAAACAGCAACAACTCAAAAAGAACTATTTCAATTACATTTAAAATATGCATGAATCAATCTAAAAGTAAACTAGCAAAAATGTTTTTTTAGTGCAATTAGGTAACTAAAAGAATCAAAATAAAAGAGAATTATGTTTATAATTAGCTAGGACTTGAGGAGGCAGAGTTAAGAAATGAATGAGGAAATGAGAACATGTCTATTAAGGTCTACTGAGGAATCAAACAATTTAGAATACCTTGTACTAATCTAACAGCTTCATAAGGGATAGTAATTAAAGATAAAATTACATACCTGAGACTGGATATATTGGTCAAAGCATAATTCAGTATTTTAACCATTGGTGTGAAGCCTGTTCCAGCTGCCAATAAAAAGAGATCTTCCAATTCTTGGCACTGGGATATTTTAAAATTGCCTTCAGGATTGCTTACGGAAACAAAATCTCCTAAACGATAAAATATAAACTAAATCAGGGGAAAAAAAGCAGGGAAACTGAGAAGGCTACACCTAGCTGAATTTAGAAAACTGGTGAGTCACAGGATGAATGCTTAGCTTTCAGACTCCATCTTAGTATTTAAGGTAGTATGTAAGGAGTTTTAAAAGTATTCAGTAGGCCCCCAAGTATGTCTGGATTATATCACTATAATCAAATTAATAATCATGTTTTATTTCACTCATTTAATTACACAATTAATTTCCCAAACCATCTGGACTCTAATTAAGTACTACTGCCAAGTACTTAAGTACAAATTACCAATAAATACAGGCTCTACATAGATTGCTAAATTAAATTATAAGCACCTAAAAAGCAGAGTCCATGTCTCCCTGTCTTGCACAGTACAGGGTAGAGAAAAGAAATTTCTACTTACATATTGATTCTTTTTTTTTTTTTAATCCTCACCAGAGGACATGTTTATTGATTTCAGAGAGAGAGGAAGAGAAATATCAATGTGAGACAGAAACATCAATTGGTTGCCTCCTGTAATTGCACCGACCGGGATCAAACCTGCAATCTAGGTATGTGCCCTGACTAGGAATTGAACCCACAAACTTTTTGAGGTACAAGATGATGCTCCAACCAACTGAGCTACCTGGCTGGGCTACATATTGATTCTTAACCATAGTAAGATTAGTAGGAGAGAAAATTGAAGTAAAAATGTATTGTAAAATCTTTTGTTAGTAAATGTGCTGATTTCACTTCCATCAAATCTTTTAAAACACTAATGGATTAAAGCAAGAAGAGTTTGTTCTTAATTCACTTCTATAAAAACAAAGCAAGTTCAGAAACGGTACTTGGAGCATGTTACTTCACAATATAGAATCAAAATAGCTGAGAAAAACTATTTTCTGAAATGCAGTTGAAATAACCACTCATATAAGAGAACTGCCTTTAGGACATTTCAGAAATTTTCAATGTAATTTGAAAAATAAAAAATAAAGCTGTCCATATTTAAAAAAACAATTTGAATCTTTAAATGCTGGATGTTCATAATTTTTCCTTTCTTTTCCATAGCAGGATAGTAAGAATCTTACAGTGATTGATTGTTAGAAGTAAAAGAGCTCCTTGTTATAGTTTGAAAGGGACGATAAGAGCAGAATATCCCTGGGATATTACTAAAAAAGCCTCAAAAAATGATACCAACTTGGTAACTTCTGTCCACAGTCCAACATCATAACACTGATGAGACTTGGGCAATGTACCTCTTGCTAATCAAGTTCACAGGAAATTCAAGTACACATGCCAGAAAGGTCACTGACTTCCAGTCAGGCTATCTGCATCCACTCACCTGAAAATTACAAACCCCATTTAGGGCATATCATTCATTTGACATTTGAAAGGCCAAAACAATCATATAAAAGTTGCTTGGTGAACGTAGGATTGAACAAAGTAACATTATAGTGTAGTTTGTTTGGGACATAATGTGGCTGCAGTTATCACTACCATGGCAGCATACATGCCTCTAAGTGAAACAAGTGTGCGTGCCATGTCTAGCTCTGTGGATAGAGGTGAAAACACACTGATCCTGAGCTGCAGGCTTTCCTTTTTCATGTTCTAGGCTCACTCTCCACCTTGCTCTGCTCACTCAAGCTCTAAAACAGGCTACAATACCGCTGCTTGTTTCCACGTGCTGTATTACAATCATGTGTCAGTCCTTCACAAAATAGATACCTTCACTAGATTTGTGGATATTCCAAAATTCTTTAGGTTCACATTTTTAGTCAATATTTTGATTTATGTAACCCAAGATGACTAATCACATCATTGCATAAATATTTCTAAGCTTAACTTTCAGAAAACAATGTAATTTTCTTTATTTCCAAATTTTCATGATCTACCTCACCGTTACTCCACTGCACTGTTAATACTGCCTTAAAAAGGGGAAGAACACTTGTACTGTTAGGCTCAGGCAGTGAAAAACTGAAGACACAGAAAAAGGAGTAAAAGCAGATAGTCTCTAAAACCTTAATCATTTCATTATAGTCTTTTTAGTCATTCTTTCAAAGTATATTTATTGGGAGCCTTTTATGTGCCAAGTGCCACGGTAGGTGCAGGAAATACAAAGATAAATAAGACACTCACCCTTTAAACTCAAAGTCTTGTAAAGAAGAAATATTATTTATTCTTATCCTAGAGCTATGAACAACGTGTCAGGATTTGCAGGGGTTCAGAGGAGGAGGGAATGTTCATAGAAGTGATATTTTTGTTTGGTTCTTTAAAAAGGGCACTTTATAGATAGAGACAGGGTTGTTGGGCATCCGAGGTGAGGGCAACTCAGAGGTGAGGTACCTATGAGTGAGTATGCCAGGCTTGTGGAACTCTGAATAGCACCAGGATCTGTACACTGAGAGATACAGCTAGAAAGATCATGAAAATATTTGTAGGTCACACAAGGGACTTACAGAGATACAGCTAGAAAGATCATGAAAATATTTGTAGGTCACACAGGGGACTTAGTCAGTTAGATAATGGAGACTCAGCAGAGGCTTTAAAGCTGCAGAGCAACATGGTTAAATCTATTCTCAGGGCAGTTTGGAAAAAGAACTGGAAAATTCAGATAAACAAAAAGACAAAGACCCCAGTTAGAGGCAACTGAGAGAGACCAGTTAGAAGCCAAGAGAGACATGATGAAGGCTTGATCTAAGAGGGTGGCTGAAGGGACAGAAAAGATTAGAAAGTCACGGGGAGGTAGACTCAATAGAACACAGTACCTGACTGGATTGGGAGGAATAAAATGGGAAGACTCAAAGCTGGCTCCGATCTCCAGATTGGGTCAAGAATGAACAGTGAGTGATGTTGCAAATAACAGAGATGAGTATGGAGTAATGATAGGTTGGGTGGGACAAAGAGAACATGATTTTGGTGCAGACATGTTGAGTTTAAGACATTTGATAGACTCCCAGATGGAGATAACTAGAGGGCAGTATAACATGTGATCTAACCCAGAACACAAATGGGGTAAACAAACAAACAAAAAAAACAAACATAAAATACTAACCAATCTGAAGATGATCAAGCTCTGGTGTAAAGAGTCCAGCAGGATAGATTTTGATCAGAAAGTAGATGTATTTATTATTGGGAATAACTGGTTCCTTAAACTCTGAGAGTAAGGAAGCAGATACAGGTGTATATGGCTTCACTATTTCAGTACCTAGAAAAAGTCACGACAAAGAAATTCAATTCTAAAAATCTAAAAAGCTCTGAATGAAGATAAAACACACAAATTTTATGATGCAATCAATCAGCCTACATTAAAAACTGTACTCCTAATGTTGATATAGTTCTATGGTCTATATGTGTATAGTACAGATAGATATATACCCCGGGTTAATGTGAGCTGAAATAATTTTAACAAATCAGTATTTTATCTATGATATAAACAATCTATTTTTATTAAGTGTGACATACAATTGGGATTTAATAAACTCAATCATCTCTTCTATCAGCATATAAACTTTGTAATAAGCCACAACAAAAATGGCATAAAAAGTTTACACAGAGACTTAAGTATGTGCTTACATAATAATTTTATTATACATAAGTTTTTTGCAATGGTTACTGATCATTTATTTGGGTTTGAGAAAGGCAAGAATTTCACATTTTACTTTTTACATTTTAAATTGTTTTAATGTTTAATATAGTATATACTGCTTTGGTAACTGGATAAAAATAATATTAATCCAACTACTTTAAAGAATAGTTTTTTAAAAGGGTAAATGTTAATGTTTCATGTTAAAATAAAAGTGTAATATGCTAATTAGACTGGACGACCTTCCAGACGAAGCCCGGGTCCCAGGTGCCTGCCAACGGCCAGAGGGAAGCCCGGGTCCCGGGTGCCAGAGGGAAGCTGGTGCCGGCAGCCGGGGGAAGGAAGGCCTACTCTTGCACGAATTTCGTGCATCGGGCCTCTAGTTTCATGTTATATTTTAGCTGGCCAAATTCCAAAGAGAGGGGAATCATCACAAATTTGCAAGAGCACAATACTACACATGGCTGCTTGACATATACAAAATGAATGTCTTTGTAAATTACACTGCGCTGAGGAAGATACCAGTTATTGGACAATGACCTGGCATTAGATGATGAAGAAGGACTTCATAGTGCCATCATAACCGACCACCTCCACCAGAGCCTGGCTGGGAGTCTGTTAGATTGATGGCTGGAAACACCTTGACTGACATGAGAATGTTACATTTTGCAGCTTCAAAAAGCCAAGAAAATGTTACACATCAGTAAGAAGGGTATTTAACCCCTTCCCCGGCAGAAACGTGTATACTCGTTTTCACAAAATGTTCTTTTTCAGTCGTCGACGAGTATACTAAGAAAATATGGCAAAAAAATATGGTTTATAGGAAGACGAGTTACAAACTGTTTTCATAACCAGCATCAAAAATACTATATAGAACCAAAATAAAAAAATTAGTCTGAAAAAGAAACGTTTTTAACAAAAATATTGTTGGGGAAGGGGTTAAAACAAATAAATGAGGTAATTTTAGGATGAAAAGGAGAGAAAAAGAATTCGCACAGTAAGGAATTTACAGATCTTCTCATACTGGTGGCACAGATAAGGACATCATTTATAATCATTCACTCATCTTGAAATTTTATAAATTCAACTTTGTAAATGACAAGACTGCAAGTGGCTTTTAGAGGTGCTGGTATGTTTGCAGGAGTTGTCTTCACGAGGGGCATTTGTGCACTCCCGCACCTCTTTCCTCTAAGGCAGTGGTTCTCAACCTGTGGGTCGCGACCCCTTGGGCGGCCGAATGACTCTTTCACAGGGGTTGCCTAAGACCATCCTGCGTATCAGATATTTACATTATGATTCATAACAGTAGCAACATTACAGTTATGAAGTAGCAACGAAAATAATTTTATGGTTGGGTCACAACATGAGGAACTGTATTTAAAGGGCCAGAAGGTTGAGAACCACTGCTCTAAGGCTTTGTTAGTAATAAATGACGGTGCTGGTGGAACCATCTCTGTGACTAGTGGCAGTTTCTTTGTTCCATGCAATACTACGGCATGGCTGTGGTTCCAACATGCAGGAGCACTAGAATCTGGCCATCCCTAAATCCAGCTGCCCCCAAACACTTAATAATCATCTCCATGGCTGCTTTCTAAAGAGATTAGTGCTGTTTTAGAACAGCTAATAAAAGAAGAAACTATTCCTCCAAAGGCTCTGCTTGCCTTACCTGCAATAGTTAGCTTGAGGTAAACATGTTGCCCAATTGGCACCTGAAGGTGAGTGCTTGGTGGCAGCATCAAGTAGAAAAGCTTCGTGTCATGAGTGGCATCTTCCTTGGAAATTAACTGGCACTTTCTGTAGTACAAACCTAAAAAGTGATTCATTTTCTCTTATTCATGAATAAGTTAAGTAAGAATAATACTAGACCCATTAAGTGAAAGCACAAACTCAGCTTTTGCTCTTTGATTGAGCTGAATTCACTAAAAGACCTATGTTTTTAAAATTTATCAGTACTTTGAAAATTGTCTAGTGTTATTTTTTTTCCATTTTATTTCCTGAGATATCTATTTTTCAAAACCTATGAATACTTCTATAATTTGAAAATAAACTTTATAAAATAAATGAGTATTATATTCCTCATGTCTATTATTGTATGTTAAAATTACATTCTAAGTAATTAAAACCTAATTTATTTCTTCTTAAATTCATTTTTTTATAATTCTATTTTAAAGCCTTATATTAACAAGTTATATAAATAGTAGATGTGAAAAATATTTGACAAGCAACAAATTTACATTCTAAATTCTTTTCTTACAGAATGGAAAAGTTCTGAGACTCAACTACTGAAACTTTAACAATATTAGCACTACTAAATACCTTTAGAAATATTTCTTTGATAAAGACTGGAAAAATATACATTCCTGTGTCTCTATGTTTGTACTATACATATGTATATTATACACACTCTCTCTCTCTCTCTCTCTCTCGGGCACGCGCGCGCGGCCCAGTGCACGAATTTGTGCACCTTGAAAGGAACTATGGGCTGTGAGGCTGTGGTGGGCACAGAGGTGGGTCTTGGCCCATCCTCCATGCCCCCACCTGACCCCTCCCGCCGCGGCCCCCAGTCCCTGTCTGCCAGCAGCTCTGCTCCCGCCACCACTGCTGCTCCCACTCCCTGACGGCGCCAGCCCCCACTGACAGCGCAGAGTGACTGGGGCCGGTGCCAGCAGCAGGTGTGAGCGGTGCTGGAGCAGTCAGTGGCTGAGAGTGGGGCTGGCGCCATGAGCAGGTATGAGCAGGGCCATTGTTGGCAGCGAGTGCGAGAGGCAGCTGCCGGCCCCTATCACCCCTCCGGAGCAGGGGGAGATGGAGAAGCCCTGAGGGGCAATCTGGGCCGGCAGCTACCGCTCACACCTGCTGAAGGTGCCGAGTGATCGGGGCTGGTGCCAGACGCCAGCAGCAGGTGCGAGCAGCAACTCTAGCGCCAGCAGCGGATGCGAGTGGGGCTAACACCAGAAGTAGGTGCAAACACCTGGTGCGACCATGGTGCACGGGAGCAAAGAATATTCAGTAACCACCAAAGGCTCACCCCGATGACAGCTACCGGTGCCCAGCTTTGGTCTGGCACCCCTGCTCACCTGCTCCACCATCCCGCTGTGGCCGATGCCTACCATGTTCCACGTGCGCCCCCTGGTGGTCAGCGCACGCCATAGCGACCAGATGTGCGGTTGTTCGGTTGTTCAGTTATTCTGCCATTCGGTCTATTTAACTATACTAATTTCAATATCTTTCCTACAAAAGGCTGCTATCATTTCAAAAGAACATTCTAACTAAAGATTCTAAAAGTTTTAAGAAAAATTTAAGAAAGTTTTTCTATTTCAATTGGACTGAGGACAGAGAAAGCTATAGCTGACACAATATGAGGAAAAAGGAGTAGAAATCAGATGTGCTGGCTATTGCAGTCTGGACAATGCCATTATTTAAGCTTAAGGTTTTTGGCTTTGTAAGCATAGACAATTACACGAGAAAATGTCAAAGTAAATTCTAAATTTGACATGAGAAGACACTGCATTAAAAGTATTCAACTTACATGTATGTTTATTTTCAAACTAAAATTCCTTTAGCTAAGAAATTTCAGGAGGAGGAAGCCAGTATACTAACCAATAATTTAAGTTATCTATACTGAAAACCTAAGAACCATGTGATGGACTAAACATTTAAAGATACTGACATCAAGTTAATCATAATACTTAGATAATATAAATATTCAGCTTTGCTACAGTGAATAAAATAATCTACAGCCTGGCCGGTGTGGCTCAGTGGTTGTGTCAACCTATGAACCAGGAAGTCACAATTACGGGGTATGCAGGATGCAGCCAATAGATGTTTCTCTCACCATTGATGTTTCTCTCTCTCTCTCCTTTCCCTTCCTCCCTGAAATCAATGAAAATATTATACTTATTAGAAAATATAAATTTAAGAATAATAATGCCATAA